ACAGAGCGCTGTGTCGGGTTAGGGCCCTTAAGTATTATCTTAAGGCTTCGAATGAACGTAGACAAGGGCGTGACCGTCTGTTCATATCGTGTAACCCTAATCGCACGGTTGACATAACTCGCAACTCGATTGCGTTGTGGCTTCGTTCTGTCATCAATCTGGCGTACCGGTCTCGGGGGTTACCGGTAGCGGGGTCAAACCCGCACGAGATCAGGGCGCTAGCGGCAACATTTGCCCTACACTCGAATATCTCTGTTCACAGAATATTACGAGGTTGTTACTGGCGTTCTGACTCGGTTTTTGCCAATCATTACCTCAGAAAGGTTTCTGATGAAGACGTGGAGGGGGTGCACCGTCTTGGGCCGCTGATCGCGGCACAAGCGGTCATCTAGGGGGTGTGTCCAGCGCAATTTCAAACTCCGCAGTCGTCAGTCCTTGCACGGTGGTCAATCTGGGTCGTCTCCAATGTTCCCACGCCGTGGGTACAGGAGTGGGGGTCCTGCAAACCAGCGCACTCACACCACAGGTGAGGCGGCTTTATGTGTGTTTTGTCCTTATTTGTATTTTGACAATTATGCATTTAATTGTCTGTCGTGTATTCCAACCTTGCGATACATGCTTACGAATACTGGAATTAGGTCACGCGCCTAATGCATACTTTCAGTAGGCTTGCTCTGGGATATACGGTCTGAAGGAAATTAATTTTTCCTCTTTTCGACTGTTTAACCTGATCTAAGATTTAGCTCACGCGGATACAGTGTTCTCATCCGCTGCGGCGATGAAATACCTATCCAGTGGGGCCGTTTGGAGTCACCAATCGTTTTGGCAATGACGATTGAGCCTTACGGTATGCGCATGACAGTGCTTTGGTATTCCTATAGGGTAACGCCTAGCTAGGTGCATGCGCATCGAGTGCTTCCGCCTTGGTGTTTACTTCCGCTGGTCGGAAGGAACGCTAGCAGTCAGGATTCGGGTTGTAGGTGCTCCCCACCGCCTACTGTGGTAGTCAGCCTCGGTATAACAGTGGTAACGTATTACTTAATGTAATTTGTAGAATTTTCCTATTCGGAATATTCTATAAGTAATACGTTACCACTGGGCTGCTGCCCGCCCGTCCGTCCCCCGAGCACTTGCTCTCGCAGGAGACAAGAGTGAAGGGTGTCACATGGCAGCTAGGTGGCTACGCACGTGCTGCATGAGGTAATTGAGATCTCTGTGGTAGATTTCGCTATAGCAGCAGTTGTGGGAGACAACAGCCTCGGTATAACAGTGGTAACGTATTACTTATAGAATATTCCGAATAGGAAAATTCTACAAGTTTTGATGTTTTTCCCCCATGGAAAGACATTACCGTGAGCACGTAACACCGGAAATACCATGTCAACAAATCCATACTGAAGTTCGCAAATTATTCATGTAATTACACTGTCTGGCTATAAAAAAGTTTTCTTTGTATATCTGGACTCATGTTTGTAACTTATTTCATTAATTTTATTCAAAATTCCTTTTAATATTGTTTTAATTAATTTCGGCGAAATCGTGTGTGAAGCGATCGGAAGATCGCACAACTCACCGTTATTAACAGCAACCACGGTCAGATTACCGCTATTGACGCCTTGAAAGGAATTTTTGTTGACAGAGAATTGATACATATATCATAAATGCCATACTTTGATTCGTTAAAAGTCAGATTTGTTTTTGTTGCACGATTCTATGTCAACACGTAATTCTCACGATCACGGGAGCCTTGACGGTGAAGGGTCAGACTGGTTCCATGTAAAAAATAATACCCGGGAATAGCGATCAGCTGCTTCGCTTAGGGTTATTATAATTTTAAATATGTTTATTAAAAGCTGCATCTAAATTAACAATATATTGGAATATATTATTCCTGATAAAAAAATAGTTTCAGATACAACTTTTGCCGATCCTTGCATTAAAATACTGTAAAGTTATATCATTGGGTGTGTCTTGACCGAATCACCGGTATATTCCAAGAAAACGTGTGTACATGTACAGCTGATTGCTGTGTCCCACTTAGTTTACGAGAAAATACACAAGGTAATCTTAATCCCTGGATATAAAACAATGCCTAGCTGAACAAAAAATACAATTTAAACGGTAAATCAACATGTCTGGTGATTTTTTATCTCAAATTTAGAACTTGTACTGACAAAGTTTCTCATCACCCGTTCGTTTGCCGGACTTCGCTGAAGGGGTACAATGTAAATTTGTTCTGCGCATAATATTCAAATTTCTTTTTTTCCAAAATATTGAACCCGCAAGAGGGGCGTGCGCATTATACATTGGTGCGCGCTATACTCAAGAAAATACATGAAATACATGGGCGGATACAGCTTTTTTGTAAAGGGGGGGTGCACAGGTAAGATCTATTTATTGTCTTTGGTGGTAATTTATACAGAAATAAAGATTTTTTTCGAAATAAAAAGGGGGGAGGGGGAGGGGGGGGGGGGGGGGGGGGGGGGGGGGGTTGCGCGCCCATGAAATACGTTTAACAGTTTCAAAGCCAGTTTGTTGTTTCAGTAAAACATACTGTATTGCTGACAATTTGCTATTTACAGTAAATAAACACCTTATATCTTCTTCAACTGTACTTGTCACATCTTTTAGATAGCAGAAAGACATCAACTTGGCTTAGCTTGTACCAGTAAACACTGCATCGCGATAGGCATTGTATCGCGACCCTCCCATATCGTTACACCTCTAATAGCAATCAGCCAGTCTGTCTGTCCGTCCGTAATCATTTCCTTTTCCGGGGCAGAATTCGAAAACCATTCAGTGTATTTGATTGAAACTTGGCAAATCTGTCAGGCACATACTGAAGTGGTGCCTTTTGATATTTTGGGATTTTTCTAAAAAAAAATATATACGTTTTTATGGAATGAAGTTGGACATAGAATCAATTGGGGATGGGGTTCGTTACAGGGGCAGAATTTGAAAACCATTCAGTGTATTTGATCGAAACTTGACAAAGCTATCAGGCACATACTGAAGTGGTGCCTTTTGATATTTGTTTTTTACGAATTTTTATTTTTTACAATTTTTATGGAAAGAAGTTGGACCTAGACTCCATTGGGGAACGGGTTGATTTCCAGGTCAGAATTCGAAAACCATTCAGTTGGTAAACAATGTATGCTTCTTAAAGAACATTCAACTGTTGACTCATTACATACAGAATTCCACATTTACTAGTGGTTAGTGGTAGAGGCACATTACTTGGTGGTGTGCAATGATTGTCAAGGTGCTTCAATCTGGTTATAAGGTTGTAGAGGCACATTGTGTGGTGGTGTGTAATGATTGTCAAGGTGCTTCAGTCTGGTATGAGGTTGTGGAGGCACATTACGTAGTGGTGTGCAATGATTGTGAAGGTGCTTCAATCTTGTATGAGGTTGTGGAGGCACATTGCGTGGTGGTGTGTAATGATTGTCAAGGTGCTTCGATCTGGTATGAGGTTGTGGAGGAATATTGCGTGGTGGTGTGTACTGATTGTCAAGATGCTTCAATCTTGTATGAGGTTGTGGAGGCACATTGCGTGGTGGTGTGTAATGATTGTCAAGGTGCTTGAGTCTGGTATGAGGTTGTGGAGGCACATTGCGTGGTGGTGTGTACTGATTGTCAAGGTGCTTCAATCTGGTATGAGGTTGTGGAGGCACATTGCGTTGTGCTGTGTAATGGATGTCAAGGTGCTTCGATCTGGTATGAGGTTGTGGAGGCACTTTGTGTGGTGGTATATTATGATTACTGGGGCCTTCTAGAAACGTTGATAAAGTTGCTGTTTCTTGTCTACAAAGAAAGATGAGACTTATACTTGGACTTTTTATATCCCCGTTTACAAAGTAAATCGGGGGGGTACATAGCGTTCCATCTGTTTGTCCTTTCTTCCAACCGTCCTTCCTTCCGTCCGAGCTTTTGTACGGCCAATAACTTTTTAACCATGCACCAAACTTGCTACACACATTTACCACAATGGGTACTTGTGTCTTTTGCTAGTTTGAGGATTCTGAATTTTTTTATTTTTGCCGTTTCCATGGACACATTAAGAAACATCAAGAATGTATGTTGTGCTAACCATTGGTTATCCCACACTAGATTGAAATATATTTGCAAAAACATGCGTTCATTTCAAACATGATGCATCCTCATGGGGGGTTACAAAGGAAAGGGCAGTTCCTCTGACTTAAAGCAACAGGTATATTTCATTAATTAACAAACTATTTACTATTTTTTGTTGACCAGCGGGGATAACGCGGGTATGTGACCTTTGTTAACTTTCTTTCTTGTTTCTGTTGCAATCATCATGCAAAAAATACTTATTCCATACGTGTTATCCCTTCCAGGCAGTGGAATCGGTACTGTCTGTCCATTCTTCCAAATATCACACTCCGTACTTGTCATCCCCGCCATGAAGTGGTAGCGGTATATTGGAATCGCTGATGTCTGCCTGTTTGTGAAAGACTGTTCCATAGTTCTTGATCAAATGTTGCACAGTATCTAACCTTGAACTGACAGGTGCCTTTTACTATTTAGAAGTTTTTGAAATTTGTTAGTTTGGTTTCCATCACAATAAATTGAGTGTAGGTTCAGATAGATGAGGCCGGGTTTATTTCCGGAGCATAACTCAAAGACCATTTATTATTTCTTGATCAAATGTAATGAACCCCATCCCTCTCTCTCCCCTTCTCTCATTCGGGTAATAATGAACTTGGCTATTACCTGTTGAAGATGATTCAAGAATTACTTATCTGCTGAACTTCATGTGTAGCTTATTAACTTGATTCATGATTTACATGTTTTGGTCTAAAGCAATTGTTATTGCTGGGATAAGATTATTATCTAAAGAACCTAAAACTTCAAAATGATGTACACTCCACTCTTGAGCACTGCAATAAAATTAAATGATGTTATTCAACGTGTAAAGAGAATATCTGATCAATTCAAATGTTGGTTACCGATGATTCCTCATATATTGGTGTTGACAGGTGACCATCCTTCAGGTGGCTTCCAGGTGGCGAACACTCTGAACATCATCACTGGACAGGCCGGACAAGGAACACTTGGGAGAGGTGAGTGTTCATGGCTGAAGGGTCAGTAAACTACTAGATCTTGTGCAAGACTCTTACCATTCTCAGCGAGAAGGTGGTGCCGATCATCAATCAGAATTTTATTCCCCTTGTCCCAAATGCCACCCTCATGTACTGATGGGTGATGGAGTAGTGTATACTAACTCCAGAAGTATTGACAATGATGTTGTGCCAGACTCTGTTAAACACTTCTCAGAGCAGATCAGTGCTTATTTTCTGATGATGTGACCTCCTATGGAGGTGGCGTAAGTGCTTAACACAGAGAGGTATTGTATCAGAGTAAAAGTTTAGATTTAAATTTGGTTGAATTTGTTGAAGAGGGTTGAAACTGGCAAAATGGCAAACATTGCCATTATTAACAAGACTGAATGAAGAGGGCTATAAAATATGAATATAGTTGTGTACACTAAGTCAGGAACACATCTGTGTGATGTATAATCCAGATGCATTGTTCCCCCTAATAATTAACACAAGAAGATTTAGTTAGCAAATATTTTGTAGTTTAATTTTAACATCCAAGTATTTGCTGGGATGGTTAATAGTTTTCATTCCTCCACAGGTACCCTTGATTTGCGCACAGACGAAGCAAAGAAGATTTTTCTTGCAACTGAACCCTACAAAGACGTGAAACGAAAACTGAAGGAATTTGGACATGTGACCATCTGCGGGGCTTCGGGAGAAGGCAAGACAACGATGGCTCTGGTGTTAGGTTCACAGTACAGAGACAAAGGCTACGAGGTCGTGTTTGTGGACAACATTGAGAAGTTTGACTTAGACCAGTGTCTTAGTAGCCACCCCAGAGTATTCCTCATAGTAGATGACATGTTTGGTACTGTTGGATTATCTGCGAATACATCACAGGTGAAAACCTTTCTAAACAACCTTCTCCTCCATTTAGAACAAAAGGGGAGTGCGGAAAAGCTGCAGTCAGAAATGCATGAAAGCAGTGATGCTGTTGGTAAATCCAGAAAGAAAGAGCAGAGTCAACCAGAATTTCAAACAAAAGATAGTGATGCTGTTGGTAAATCCAGAAAGAAAGTGCAGAGTCAACCAGAATTTCAAACAAAAGATAGTGATGCTGTTGGTAAATCCAGAAAGAAAGTGCAGAGTCAACCAGAATTTCAAACAAAAGATATTCGTGTTGTCTTCACATCAAAGTCATACAACTTCCATGATGGACTTGCAAAACTGCAGTACGAGGGTTTCAAACTGTTCAAAGGTCAAACTGTAATGGATTTAACCACACAAGATAAATACTGGCTTTCTGACAAAGAGAAAATGACAATATTTGAACGACATAGGAAAGCTCTCGGTGACTGCTCCATGCAACATATACCCGATTACAGTGAGCTGGAAATCTGTTCAAATATCTTTGGATTCCCTCTTATTTGTAAACTTTGTTTTGAATTTTCATCTTTCTACAAAAATGGAAAATCATTTTTCAAGGAACCACTGTTTTATCTCAGGTTAGAGCTAAAGCGTTTGCTTGAAGAGAGAAATGACCGATCGGCCATTCTGGTTCTGATGCTATTGTGTGAAGACAAATTGGACCTGAGCAAGTTAGACAGTGAAGGTGAGGATAAGGAAATGGACAGCCTGGTCAAAACTGTTTTACAGATGATGTCTGACGCTACACGTTCAGGCATGTACAAAGCAGCTAAAGGTTTTAGAGGTACATTCTTCACAAGAGGAGACACTGTTGGCTTTGCTCATTCTTCAATCTATGATGCTTGTGCCTGTGCCTTGTATAATATCAGTCCAATCTTTGTTTTGAAGCACTGCAGTGATGACTTTCTGTTTGAAAGGGTACAAGGTGACAAGGTTGAAGAAACCAAAGTTGATGATCATCTCCATTTGATATATGTCTCAGAGAATTATGATGACCTACTTACCACAAGGTTTACACAGTCTATTAAACAAGGACAGTTTTCAAAATCAGTGACACATCCAATTCTCAAACAAGACGCCACAGTTTTCAAGCTGCTCGAGAAACTTCATTGTGATCGGACAAAACATCTTTGGTTTCACAAGAAAGAGAAAGGACAATGTTTTCTGTACTGGGCAGTTCTTGGACATAATGCACGTCTAATTACAGGTATAGAACACACAACTGGAGAAGAGTTCACTCAAGGAGAAATCAGTGAGGCCATGGAAGGATGTGCACAAAGCAACAATGTGACAGCATTGAAATGGCTGTTCAGCAGGAGTGAGAAACATGACCATCAGTTGACACTGAACAGACTTTTGTTGGCAGCTGCTGAAAGTGGCAGCTCTGACATACTAGTGTATCTGCTGCAGGAAGGCGCTGATATTAACACAAGTGACAGAAACATGCAAACCATCTTCCATCTTGTCTGTAAATCAGGAATGGAAAAAACCCTGAAAGTCCTGTTAACCAGGAAACCTGGGAATAATGTTATAAACTCTGTTGATGTGAATGGCAGGACCCCTGTCATGGTAGCAGCACACAAAGGATCAGATGGATGTTTTAAGTTACTGCAGACAACATCAAATTTGAATGTGAAAGATAAACATGGCAGCGGAATTATTCATCTTGCCTGTCGTGGTGGGAACACTGCTATAGTACAACATGTCCTGTCTCCATCTAACATCAACAGCAGAGGGGAGTATGGATGGACAGCAGTGATGCAGGCAGCTGTCAATGGACATCAAAGTGTGTTTGACCTCCTTGTGTCCAACCAAGCTGACCTCACACTGGTGGATACAGATGGTGACAGTTTACTTCATCTTGCCTGTCGTGGTGGGAACACTGCTATAGTACAACATGTCCTGTCTCCATCTAACATCAACAGTACAGGCAGATATGGATGGACAGCAGCAATGAATGCAGCTGTCAGTGGACATCAAAGTGTGTTTGACCTTGTGTGCAACCAAGCTGACCTCACACTGGTGGATACAGATGGTGACAGTTTACTTCATCTTGCCTGTCGTGGTGGGAACACTGCTATAGTACAACATGTCCTGTCTCCATCTAACATCAACAGCACAGGCAGATATGGATGGACAGCAGCATTGAAGGCAGCTGTCACTGGACATCAAAGTGTGTTTGACCTCCTTATGTCCAACCAAGCTGACCTCACACTGGTGGATACATATGGTGACAGTTTACTTCATCTTGCCTGTCGTGGTGGGAACACTGCTATAGTACAACATGTCCTGTCTCCATCTAACATCAACAGCAGAGGGATGCATGGATGGACAGCAGCAATGAAGGCAGCTGTCACTGGACATCAAAGTTTGTTTGACCTCCTAGTGTCCAACCAAGCTGACCTCACACTGGTGGATACAGATGGTGACAGTTTACTTCATCTTGCCTGTCGTGGTGGGAACACTGCTATAGTACAACATGTCCTGTCTCCATCTAACATCAACAGCAGAGGCAGATATGGATGGACAGCAGCAATGAAGGCAGCTGTCAGTGGACATCAAAGTTTGTTTGACCTCCTTGTGTCCAACAAAGCTGACCTCACACTGGTGGATACAGATGGTGACAGTTTACTTCATCTTGCCTGTCGTGGTGGGAACACTGCTATAGTACAACATGTCCTGTCTCCATCTAACATCAACAGCAGAGGGATGCATGGATGGACAGCAGCAATGAAGGCAGCTGAGTATGGACATCAAAGTGTGTTTGACCTCCTTGTGTCCAACCAAGCTGACCTCACACTGGTGGATACAGATGGTGACAGTTTACTTCATCTTGCCTGTCAGGGTGGGAACACTGCTATAGTACAACATGTCCTGTCTCCATCTAACATCAACAGCAGAGGGGAGTATGGATGGACAGCAGTGATGCAGGCAGCTGTCACTGGACATCAAAGTGTGTTTGACCTCCTAGTGTCCAACCAAGCTGACCTCACACTGGTGTCTACATCTGGTGACAGTTTACTTCATCTTGCCTGTCGTGGTGGGAACACTGCTATAGTACAACATGTCCTGTCTCCATCTAACATCAACAGCAGAGGGATGCATGGATGGACAGCAGCAATGGTTGCAGCTGTCACTGGACATCAAAGTGTGTTTGACCTCCTTGTGTCCAACCAAGCTGACCTCACACTGGTGGATACATCTGGTGACAGTTTACTTCATCTTGCCTGTCAGGGTGGGAACACTGCTATAGTACAACATGCCCTGTCTCCATCTAACATCAACAGCAGAGGGATGCATGGATGGACAGCAGCAATGAAGGCAGCTGTCAGTGGACATCAAAGTGTGTTTGACCTCCTTTTGTCCAACCAAGCTGACCTCACACTGGTGGATACATCTGGTGACAGTTTACTTCATCTTGCCTGTCAGGGTGGGAACACTGCTATAGTACAACATGTCCTGTCTCCATCTAACATCAACAGCAGAGGGGAGTATGGATGGACAGCAGTGATGCAGGCAGCTGTCACTGGACATCAAAGTGTGTTTGACCTCCTAGTGTCCAACCAAGCTGACCTCACACTGGTGGATACATCTGGTGACAGTTTACTTCATCTTGCCTGTCAGGGTGGGAACACTGCTATAGTACAACATGTCCTGTTTCCATCTAACATCAACAGCAGAGGGAGGCAAGGATACACACCTGTGATGAAGGCTGTATTCCATGGACATCAAGATGTGTTTGACCTCCTTGTGTCCAACCAAGCTGACCTCACACTGGTGGATACAGATGGTGACAGTTTACTTCATCTTGCCTGTCGTGGTGGGAACACTGCTATAGTACAACATAACCTGTCTCCATCTAACATCAACAGCAGAGGGATGCATGGATGGACAGCAGCAATGGTGGCAGCTGTCAATGGACATCAAAGTGTGTTTGACCTCCTAGTGTCCAACCAAGCTGACCTCACACTGGTGGATACATCTCGTAATAGTTTACTTCATTTTGCCTGTCGTGGTGGGAACACTGCTATAGTACAACATGTCCTGTCTCCATCTAACATCAACAGCAGAGGGATGCATGGGTGGACAGCAGCAATGGTTGCAGCTGTCACTGGACATCAAAGTGTGTTTGACCTCCTAGTGTCCAACCAAGCTGACCTCACACTGGTGGATACAAATGGTGACAGTTTACTTCATCTTGCCTGTCAGGGTGGGAACACTGCTATAGTACAACATGCCCTGTCTCCATCTAACATCAACAGCAGAGGGATGCATGGATGGACAGCAGCAATGAAGGCAGCTGTCAGTGGACATCAAAGTGTGTTTGACCTCCTTTTGTCCAACCAAGCTGACCTCACACTGGTGGATACAGATGGTGACAGTTTACTTCATCTTGCCTGTCGTGGTGGGAACACTGCTATAGTACAACATGTCCTGTCTCCATCTAACATCAACAGCAGAGGGGAGTATGGATGGACAGCAGTGATGCAGGCAGCTGTCACTGGACATCAAAGTGTGTTTGACCTCCTAGTGTCCAACCAAGCTGACCTCACACTGGTGTCTACATCTGGTGACAGTTTACTTCATCTTGCCTGTCAGGGTGGGAACACTGCTATAGTACAACATGTCCTGTCTCCATCTAACATCAACAGCAGAGGGAGGCAAGGATACACACCTGTGATGAAGGCTGTATTCCATGGACATCAAGATGTGGTTGACCTCCTAGTGCAGCACAAAGCTGACCTCACACTGGTGGATACATCTGGTGACAGTTTACTTCATCTTGCCTGTCAGGGTGGGAACACTGCTATGGTACAACATGTCCTGTCTCCATCTAACATCAACAGCAGAGGGAGGCAAGGATACACACCTGTGATGAAAGCTGTATTCCATGGACATCAAGATGTGGTTGAGCTCCTTGTGCAGCACAAAGCTGACCTCACACTTCTAACAGACAGTAATGAGGACATTGAATGTGTAGCTGAGATGGGAGGACATCCTACACTAGCCAAGTATCTTCAAACAGTTAAACATCCTCACTGATTAAGCTGTGTGTTATGTGTTCTGAAGGAAATTTATTGAGTGTGTATTGCAACTATGTTCTACTGTAGAACATTCATTCTTGCAGACTTGGAAACACTGTAAACATTTAGTCAATACATTGTGCTTATTTTGTATTTATGGTGAATATATTTCAACAGTATTGCTTAACAATTGTTAAGTGGCTGTCAACATTTGAACCTGTTGCCTACATATGCAGGTTAGCTACAGTGCTGAAGCACCATATTAACAGTTGAGTCTGAGAGAAAATTATTTTTCCCATTATTTAATCTGAATATATAATATGAGAGCGAGGTGGAGCTTTTCGTCTCCAAAAGACAGGAATATCGTTGAAGTGATGATTTTACAAACTTCCCATCTTTTTCTGATACGAAGAGCTAACACTGACCATCCATGTATTGCCACTCAGCTAGCATTGTAGAAATGTCCTAATTTTGCTCTAGAGAAGTTTGTACAAATATTATGATTGTAAATATTGGCTCAGTTTGTAATAAAATTCAATCATCCTTGTAGGTTGATGGTTTTGCTAGTTTTTCTTTCAAATCCAGAATAAACTTAAACCTACAAGCACATTTATAGACAGACTTAGCTTGGACACCGACCTCCTTCAGTAAGGAGAACATACAAGTATCTGCTGAATCAGCATTCTTCACGAGCCGACAGTTACGTAAAATAATGAAATGCCGTAACTTGTTACCTTATTTAATTACATTCAACAGCAATCACTGACGATTGGTGAACTGATGGTGTGTCAATATTTACTAGATTTGCAGGTGCTGAAATTGGGTTTAAAGTCACATCCCAGAATATTGCACTTATATAGGTATGTTGGTGCGTGCGTGCGTGCGTGCGTGCGTGCGTACTAGTCGGGACTGATGCCGATTTATAGTGATAGCTCACTGAGATACCATGCTGCAGTTTAACATGAATGCCCCACTCAGACACAGTATACTAGCTCAGAGCCGACCAGTCCTTGTTTTACTCCCTTTATGCTGAGTGCCAGACATGGTAACAACAAGTACCATCTTTAAATGTTTTTGGTACGACGCACCCGGGTATTGAAGCCCGTACCTTCTGCTCTCTGGGCGGACGCTCTACCACTAGACCACGGAGGCGGTCTCTGGGCGGACGCTCTACCACTAAACCACGGAGGCGGTCTCCGGGCAGACGCTCTACCACTAGACCACGGAGGCGGTCTCTGGGCGGACGCTCTACCACTAGACCACGGAGGCGGTCTCCGGGCAGACGCTCTACCACTAGACCACAGAGGCGGTCTCCGGGCGGACGCTCTACCACTAGACCACGGAGGCGGTCTCTGGGCGGGCGGACGCTCTACCACTAGACCACGGAGGCGGTCTCCGGGCGGACGCTCTACCACTAGACCACGGAGGCGGTCTCTGGGCGGACGCTCTACCACTAGACCACGGAGGCGGTCTCTGGGCGGACGCTCTACCACTAGACCACGGAGGCGGTCTCTGGGCGGGCGGATGCTCTACCACTAGACCATGGAGGCGGTCTACTTGATTTGTAAATAGTAAAGGTGATTTTCGTGTCATTTCATCATTCCTCTTTATTGCACTGTCCATCTTGGACTGAAGAAGTGAGAAATGTGTGGCCGGGATCAGGCTTGACCAAGTTCCTCCTCAGTGAGCGACACCTTCGTTACACTCCCGGTAACATCCCTGATAACAGTGTGGGCGCGGCCATTGCAAAAATCTTGAAATTTGCCCTCGTAGCCCAAATGTAGCAATGGTTATACTTCTGTATGTCTTTGGGAATGCCATCATAGTGAATTTTGAAAAGAATCACGAATGACCATTAATCACTGGATTGTCTGTTCCAGACACAATTATTTACAGACCTCCGTCATTCAGCTGGAATATTGCTGAGTGCGGCATTAAACAACAAACTAACCAACCAAATGAATTTACCTTTTTGTTTGATCAGATTGGTTCTAGTTTCTAGCAGGGGTAAGAGTATTCGGGGTTACGTCACTTGTTTGTAAACATAATGGTCGGGTCAGCTGCGAGTTCAACTCCAAGCATGGTTGTAGCCACCTATCACAGTGGGGAGCTTTGACTGGTAGCTGAGATGGTATAGAGAGCTCCGCGAACAGGCTATCGCTATGAGGAGGTCGATGCTTGACTTGCAAACGGACACAACTGTCAAGTGTCACCCATCTTTCCTTCCACGTCAGATAACATACAGGCATCCAATGTGGCCTTCTGAGTCCTAATCATGTCAGCGCTGGTTACCATATGCCCTCTTCTGTACATCGATTAATATCAGTTATTCTATTTTTCTACCAGGGAGTTATAATATTTAACGTCAAAGAGGATCTGGAAATTACCGCATTTGTCTGGGAGGTTTCATCAGACGTCTGACAGCCCATAATGCAACAATGCAGATCTTATGGTAATTTCAGACGTATGTTAAGGTCATCATTACATATTATAATTAATAAGATAATTAATAATCAATGGTCATCATATATATCTGACTGACTCCAACAAATCTATCCGACAAGTCCAGTCATAATTTGAGAAACGGAACATCATCTTTCAAAAGAACATTTAACATTGGTTCCCTCAATACTTGGAACAAACTCAGTATTGATATTGAAAGAAGTCCTACTTAACCTGCATTTAAATATTTTAAGACCCCTGTATGCTATTTAGTAGGACCGCTACTATGGGCTATGGAAAGTACCGTGAAAAAGGTTTGCTAATGTGTGTGGTAGGATTTACAGCACACTTCCTCAACCTGATTGGTTACAAATCATTAAATAGGTTGAACACCTGTACACCAATCTCTTCTTTAATTACTTATCTGCAAATACATAGACTTGTTTTTATGGAAAGGGAACTTTTTTGTTTTTGATCTGATACTGTTATTCAGGGTTGTATTTCTATGAAATAAAGCATACAATTTCTCGAGGATTGACTGTGTTACTCAAGGCTTGGCCCAGTTAATCAAGGGATGGCCAAGTAGCTCAAGGGATGGACCAGTTACTCAAGGGATGGACCAGTTACTCAAGGGATGGACCAGTTAGTCAAGGGATTGTCCAGTTATTCAAGGGTGGGCCCAGTAAAATCATGGGATGACCCAGCTACTCAAGGGATGGCCCAGATAAAGGGATGGCCCAGTTACTCTAGGGATGGCCCAGTTAGTCAAGGGATGGCCAAGTTACTCAAGGGATGGCCCAGATAAAGGGATGGCCCAGTTACTCTAGGGATGACCCAGTTACTCAAGGGATGACCAAGTAACTCAAGGGATGGCCCAGTTACTCAAGGGATGGCCAAGTTAGTCAAGGGATGGCCCAGATACTCAAGGGATGGCCCAGTTACTCAAGGGATGGCCAAGTTACTCAAGGGATGGCCAAGTTAGTCAAGGGATGGCCCAGATACTCAAGGGATGACCCAGTTACTGAAGGTTTGGCCCAGTTACTCAAGGGATGACCCAGTTACTCAAGGGATGGCCCAGTTACTCAAGGGATGGCCCAGTTTCTCAAGGGATGACCCAGTTACTCAAGGGATGACCCAGTTACTCAAGGGATGGCCCAGTTATTCAAGGGATGGCCCAGTTACTCAAGGGATGACCCAGTTACTCAAGGGATGGCCCAGTTATTCAAAGGATGGCCCAGTTACTGAAGGTTTGGCCCAGATACTCAAGGGATGACCCAGTTACTCAAGGGATGACCCAGTTACTCAATGGATGACCCAGTTACTCAATGGATGACCCAGTTACTCAAGGGATGGCCCAGTTACTCAAGGTATGGCCAAGTTACTGAAGGGATGGCCCAGTTACTGAAGGGATGGCCCAGTTACTCAAGGTATGGCCAAGTTACTCGAGGGATAAAAAGTCTTTAATATTATGTTAACCATGTCAACCAAATCAACAGACAAAGCGAACTTACAAACAGTGTTGTCTCCTTTCCCAGCCGTCTCCTCTGTGATGAAATACATTGATGACATGTTGTTTGACTTCATATTGCATAATTCATCAATTCTTTTCTGAAAAACAAATCAAATATCAGTACTGGGTATCAGAAATCTGAACTATCAAGAAAAGTTCCTTACACCTGGATCATTAAAAGATCTCAAAATATATTTCACTAAACATACATAGCTGTCTCAATGCTGAATGGTCAATTTGTATTACTTCACACGTATTACCACAGCAATAGTATTTTCCTTAAAGTGATACACGGACATGATGTTTAATCAGGATCAGGGGAACTTCCACATTCAATAACCACGGGTGGCCCAGTCACCTAGATTCACTGTGCAGAGTTGCTTCCCTTGGGCACGCCAGAAACCAACGAATGTGGGTTCGAATCCCGGTTCGCCCGGATTATGTTTCTAGGTTTGTCAGCACCATACCCGTGCTTGTGGGTTTCAGCGGAGTGAGGCCTGCATCACTTCTGGCTTTCCTCCCACACTATACTGACACTTCTCCTGGCTTGGTCTTGTGTTCACTGTCCGACTGTCATTTGTTTCATTTTGTTTTATTAGCGCCTCGCCCAATATTATTCTGCTCACTTAATATGACACCAGGTACAGCAACTAAAGACACCACCACAAATTTATTATGCCGAAATGCTTTCACTATTTGGTGTTTTTATTGCACATGTATATCATGTCAAACTAAAAACTTCACACCAACAACCCTTAACCCTCATGGTGCCTGGATCAAAGGGAGACTACTCTTCAAGCCTTAGCAGGCAAACCTTGTGGAAATGTTTAACTATAGTCTTTATCAATAAAGTCATGAACGGGATTTTTGTTTAAAATGTCTGTCCTTGCACATCACAATTAATTATATAAAAACACAAACAGTGTTGAATAACCAATGTACCAGAATTTGTATGTGAAATATATGAGGTGGATGTGTGAAAATCCAAGATGGCTGTTACTGGCATACAGTCTCACATTTGGTCAGTATCAACCATCTTAGATTTTTAATGACAGTATACGGGCTCGTGTGGTGTCAGTAGTTCTGCTCTCACTTTGAGGCATAATGAAACAAGATATAAGTCAATCTAACAACACTATCAAGTGGTGTACACAGAAATCATAGACTTAATGTTCGGTCGTCAAAGATAAGGCATTGCATATCAAACAAAACGTGAATTAATTCCCATTTTACACCAGGTTCTGTATTGCTTATGTAGAAATTACACCTGGAACGCAGGATGAAACAATCTGTACATTTATTTGACTGCAGTCTGAAGTGCAATGCACAGATCCAACTGAAAGTTTTCTGCAAATGTACACTTTGTATGACTGTAGAATTTTGGATTCGGCAAGGAAGTGAGTTGCCACTGTGCCAGCTTTAAACAAAATAGACAACAGGCCTCAAAGAGAAGCCGGGTCAACGGCTTGCACAAAATTAATAAATGCCTTGGGGCCACATGCACAAAACGATCTTAGCGCTAAGACTATTTTAAGCCTGTGTTAAAGTATGGGAGTTAAGATCATCTTTGCGCTAAGATCGCTTTGTGCAAGTGGGCCCTGGTGTCTAATAGAGGAAATACAGATTGCACACTAAATCCCATTCTATTTTCAGTTGAAATGTGAGAATAATTTCAATTTTAAAAAATTTAATACCGGTACTAACTTTAAAACCAGACCTGAAAGTAAATGAAAACTGTCACCATACCCTGAACAAAAGTTCCTCCTTGGTTTTGGCACTGAACATGAGGATGACCTTGTTTGGGCACATGCTGCGTGTCGTCGCCATCTGCTGCAGATCATGAACGTGGCTCAGCATACTCATGAGGGGGTTGATCCCGACCCCACCCGCCACCAGCAGCAGGTTTGTGGGAGGCTCCTCGCCTGGCTGAGGGTCATAGAAGTAGTCGCCACCCACACGCAGGTCCACTTGAGCCCCAACCTTGCACTGGTAAACATGAGCCAAGCATACCGGTAGATGCATAAATAAATCTTGGTATGTCAGGCCGAAAACAGAATTAGTTCAATGGAAGTTTATTAAACTGATACTGATTGCGCATTGAGCGATTATCTCCTTTAGCTATAGGCGTAGTATAGAAGTGATAAATTCACGCACTGACCTTGCATTGCTGTACATCGTATCTTATTCAAGCTGTATCACTGAGAGTGAGTGATTATCTCCCTTACCCGAACAGCTCAATTGCGCACTACCTTTGTAATGTATCGTATGTTATTCAGGCAGCCATCGAGAAACGTTCCAGGAAGGAATTTAGGCCAAGCCTGTCACGCGCACTCAATTTTCACACTGCTATTGCAACATATTGTTCAACACGATTAAATAACAGGCTTCTATAAAGTATAACTTTGTTCAATAAACAACACATGTAAAACAACGGGTTTGATATGAGAATTTGTTTATTAGTTGTCTTCATAATCACATGTATGGCACTTGCTGTGCATAGTTGAGCACAGCATTGTTTTAAAAACTTCACTGTATGTAATGAATGGTACATAACGTTTCATGCGGCGGTTTACGTTTCTGCATGGTTTATTGCTTTGACAAAAAAACAACAACTTCCAGCAGAGATCATACACCCGTATATGTTCTTTACTTCTGGATACATAGGAAATCAACAGGTTGGTGTGTTGTTTGCAATTATTTTCCAAAAAGATAATACGGTTGCATGATATCTTCACGATGTTTGGGTTGAACATAGTAGCATTCTTCTAAACAAATTTCCAATCTAAGCCGGAAGCAATCACAACACAAACCCAGTTAACCAAACGGAACCATACACAAGAGTGAGTGAGGTAGTTGGGTTTAACGCCGTCTTGAATAGTATTCCGTGTCAGCTTGAAGTGGGAGGAAAGTCTGAAGTGATGCAGGTCTTAGACGTTCAACACTTTGGTGAAACCAACGAGCAAGGGTTTTGTGCTGACAACACAATCGGGGCGAATCGAGATTCAAACACACTGTCATAGGTTTCTGGCGTGCCCAAGGGACACAAGTCTGCATAGCGAATTGCAGCGCCTTCGGCGACTGGGCGAACCATGCCCCAGTAAACAACTGTAAGAAACTATTATACAACAAAGATGTTTTAGATGAGCTATGTATTGCGGAACATTCCATGAAGAAACAGTGGCAATATTACACAATCACAAATTACAATATACATGCACAATAAACGACAATTAAAAAACACAGGAACATTCAACATTCAAAAGAGGTACATTATAACAATTTAATTTCTAAAACAAGTGTATTATAATTATATGGAAACAATATGAGAATTGAGCAAAACTATGGTAATGTTGTACATACATGTACAAGGAATTTGTTTGTAATTTTTGTTATGTTAACAGATCTTGGAAGTTGTTTCTGGATAACTGTTGATACCCTTATTAAGAATCTGCTCCTTTTAACAGAGTGTACCAAATTCTTTATCATGATTGGGGATTATTTGTGACTCTCTTTCTTAGTTGTATTATGTATGACAGTGCGTAATGTTGTTCATCTTCTGAGACATCACATGTTTCACAGAGACGTTGTTCAAATGGGGTTGGTGTTTTTGTATATCTACAATTTTTTCAATTTTTAGTTTGTGATTACTTAAACGAAGTTTGGAGAAAAGTGACCTATGGCCTTTGTTTTTACAATACGTAAGATAATTCTCAATATTTATAGATACTGTATTTTCCTAACTTACTGCTAGATTAATGGGGATCCATTTAAGATTGCGTGAATTTTTACATTTGAACTGCAGTATATTTAGAGTGGATTCATTACATTTTTGGGTTTACTATTTTAAAAGTTTGCTTTATTTAACCCAACCAACATTTTGACCAGAAATAATTTTTTTTGCTGCAAAAGCATGCTTTAGAATGCCATTTGTTGTGTTATCTATATGGGATTTTTTTATTGGTACTAATAGTGGATATATATCAAGTTTTGCCTGGCAGGCCCAGTTTTCTTGCCGGGGTTTTCTTTATGCTGACCAATTAAAGACACTGTTTCTTTTATTGTGCTTTCCAAAGAAAAGTACATTAATAACAACCAATTTGTACTTAACACAAATTCTCTCCTCCCATAGCTTACACTTCCTTCCTCTGCACATAACATTATATTGCGGGGAGCTATTGATGCTCTTGAGAACGTGCTGTCTCACGGTAATTTTTCCTTAAAATAGAATGGAAGAATTGAGAATAAATGATGACATCAGAGCTGCTAGCGTTCCAAGATTTATTCAGGTGCAGTGTGTTATAAACATTTCAATTCAATTAATCACATAATCATATCTAATAATCATAAATTATATCATTACAAATAATTGTCATAACGTCGTGGTTTCTTATGACATAACTACTCAGAATATAAATCAATAAGCATTTCGCTTCAACCTTATAACATATCAAATAATCACCATTACATTATACACAAATAGATCAGGATGGAACTTTAAATAACGGCACAATAACAAAGACAACACATATGATTCACAATACCAATGTCAGCTGAAATAATGCAACATTAATGATAGACGTATTTGTAGATATATTACGGTAATGCAGTTTCGCGCATTACCGTAGTTTTTCTAATACAAGTCTTATTTAGCTATTTTATGCAGAGCTCGCATACGAGCATTGTGCATTCAACTATTAACATCAAGTTACAGGTATTTCATTTCCTATCAAGAACAAAGCTGACGGACTATTAACTAAGTTCAGCATTACTGCTAGCAATGAATCTACACATATTGACGACATGACATATTTTACTTTACGACGTTGTTGATAGTTGTACTAGATTTCTTATTTATCAAACGGTTATCAAGAGGTTGATCAGAAATAATTAATTTCATATTTTATTGATCGAAATTACTACAACCTACATAATTGATTACAACCTTCATAAGTGACACCTATAGTGGCATAGTGCGCATTGAAAACATTCCTAACGTTATTGAAGATTCAAAATACATTAAACAATAACTTAATAATGAACCAACGCATGTGGTTGAAAATATACAATGTTCAAGAAATCTAAGACAATAATCATAAAATACATTCAACATATTTGAAAACAACAATTAAAACAATCTGAGACAAAAATCATAATACACATTCAACATGAATGAAAACAACCATTGAAACAACGCATGAAAATGTCTTACCTTAAAATAGAATGGAAGAATTGAGAATAAATGATGACATCAGAGCTGCTAGCGTTCCAAGATTTATTCAGGTGCAGTGTGACTTGGTAGTCAACCTGCACCTACTTATATAGTGGAGGGACGCATAGCAAACTCTGACTGGTTTAGTTTTGAAAACATTATTTTATTTTATTGTCACAATTACTTCCTTTGCTATTTCATGTGTTGTTCCGGGTTGATACAATATTCTCATAGATTACCTAACTAATTGTCTACCTATTGTGGATAAGGTAATAAAAAAAACAAAGCATGGCGTTTTAGTTGAGCCGTCGGCATTTTAGACTGACCGCCGACTTGTCACGGGGATTACTGTTATTGGTCAGCGTGTCAATCTGGAATTGACACGCAGCCGGTGACTGTAATGCGAGCGGACATCTATTGTCTAACTTATGTCTCGCGGCGTGCTTTTACAACCTTAGTGAGTTACTGCCATGTATGTGAGATGTCCGAGATTTGACTGTAAAGATACGTGAGTTAATTTTATAAATTTTGAATATTATTTTTATATTTTGATATGAATTATTAAGCAAGTTTGCGCACTATAACAATACCCCTCTGTCTCGAGAAGCTTTTGTCCTCAAAAGCAAAAATAATGATCTATGAGAATATTGTTCACAAAAATAGATATAAAGAGACAATTATTGTCTTGAACCAACTTGATGAGATTCTCACATGTAAAAATTTCAAATGCAAGGAACATATTGAATCATATTAATGATGAAGGTAGTCCTCCATAGGAAGGACTTCATACAAACCATGATGAGAGATGAGGATGTTTGTGGCAAAGGGTTGAGAGAGTATGACGTTTATACGTCTTGCCATCAATGGTGAGATTCTAACTGAAAGCGGAATCTTCAACGATTGCTGGGTAAGCTTGTTAGAAATTCTGAATTGGGGCCAGGTAACGTTGAGAGTAGGTCTAAGGTAGCTTGATATGTACAAATTTTTGACAATGGAAGGTGGGTGAATATCCCAATATGATGGACACAATGATAGAGACATTATTGGCACTAGTTCGCATAGAGAACCAGTAGTAAGTTCTAACGAGATCAAAGTATGGTTTGATTTCTTAGTGAATACTTTATATAGGATAACCAAAAGCAGTACGAATGATATGGAAATAACTATCATAGGAATGTGGTCATACATTGTATTAAGAATAGTATAGACATTACTGGGTGGGGGTGGAGTGGGATCATGATATTCGAACGATGGGATAGGAGTGGATTTTACTGAAATAGTAGCTTGAAGGATGGTGATAGTGGCAGTTAAAGTTCTTATCTTAAAGAACATCCAAATAATTGCAGCTATGGCTAGGACTGATAGAACTGCCGCACCTAAAGGAATGATGGAGCTAAGATCAAACCAGGAAGATTTAACATTAATTTTACCATCCAAAAGGGAGTCTGTTAGACTCTGAAAGATAACCTCATTCTTTTTAACACTTGTAGCCATACGTTTAAGACTAAGGTGATCCTTGTGGTCATTAGCAATAACTTTAGCAAACTGGTGTGTATAAAAATGAAAATCAGGAATCTTGACATTAACTGGTTCATTATAAAGGGTATTACCAGCAACCGTATCTAAAGTAGAGTCTTCAAAAAAATGCTGTAATAAAGCTAAGTTTACAGGATGTAGGTAGGTGATATCCTGGTGGGTAAGGTTTTGACATGTTCCCAAATGTGCAGGAAATGTGAGGTCTTGTGTTGAGATGGAACACAAGCATGGTAGTTTTATCATGCAAAAGGAACAACCCGTGATGATTCTTTGTCCATCAGGGCAAGTGAGT